TTAAAACAATAAACAACTTTTTAGAACAATATAAAACTGATTTAAAACATTGTGTTTTAAAATACTTGCCATCCTTATACATAATCTCACCATTGACACTTTCTCCGTGATTCTATATGCGCGTCTATAAATTCTCTTGGGACATCCAAACTAATACGAATTAAGCAGTGTAAAAGCAATTGTCTTTAATGGAATTTGTGTTTGTATTTAATAACTTGTTTTCAAGCCGTTATTTCTGTTAACGAACCATGGTAATATTTACACATTTTTTTGCTCGAGTTCAAGTTGGCTCTAAAGTAACGGCTCAATTTTTTTACCGTCATGCAAAATTTTGTGCTTCTCACCACATCTTTATGATTGTTCTGGAAATCTTCATAATCTTACTTTTATGTTACCCCGCTTTCGATGTTTATTACTTGAATCCCGTCAAAAACGATAATCAAGCATTTTTTTGTGAGGTATCTCCATCTGAGCCACAAGTCTTGAAAAAAACTTTTGCTGACAACTGCGGAACTCGGCCTTTATTTTACGTAGAGCAAGTTATCATAAAGATAGCTAACTTAGGGGAAAATAACAAAGGTGAAAATGCTAGTGTTTTGGAAAAAAATTTACTGTTATGGATTTTAGGTTTGCAAGAAAGAATCGAGAATACTATTATAAGAAATCCTAGTCTTTCCTCGTCAGTTGCCCCTTCAACTTCTATAAAATATACCCTTTCAGATATATGCTTTAAACCTTTTAATAGTAACACATGTTTGATTCATTCACCACTTGATTATTGGTCGAATAATGCCAATCATCTTTCTTCTGACCCTTCTATCCAAAAAACTCTTTCATTGACAAACACAATATATCTTGGAAAATTCATTCCTTTGAATTCTGTCTTTGGAAACGTCGTGTATGAGGGAAGAAAAATCATTAGTGCAGACTCGATAATTTTAACTTATTTTTTGAAAGAAATTGAAGATTATAACAAAGATTTGACAATTTCCATTTGGGAAGAGATTTGGAAACAGATTATAAACGATGTAAACACTAGCTTTTTCTTTGGTGATGATCCCATTAAAAGTGTAAACATGAACAATCGAGGAGAATTGAAATATTTATTTTTTAATGTAAACAATCTTTTCTTATCTGTATCAATATTATAACCTCATACTACAATTTTTTCTCGTATTAAAATCTTAGTTTATTTTATAGTCGAATCGGAATGGTTCTTCGGAATTTTTAGCCGAGTGGCTTTTTTTTATGCTAGCATACTTTCTTTTTTTCTTTTATGTTATTCTCTCGTCCGGTCATCTTGACTTCGTCAAGTCTAAGTTTGGCCTCCTCTCCTCGGTTATGATTCAGATATTTGCTTCGTTAATTATGTCACTCAGCATCTGCTCTCTATTTGGTGTCACATTAACATTTACCACTATATCTTGGTATGTTTATTATGTGATAATATTTATGTATTGATTATCGAATATGTACGTACGAATAATAGTACAATTTTATTCTTTCTCTAGGAAACTATTGCCTTTCGTTTTTATCCTGATCGGTATAGAGAATATGTTTATTTTAATGGATGCTGTAGCAATGATCCCCACTCATCTGGGTGTAAAAGAACGTATCGCTCAAGGTAATCTATTCTCGAATAAGTCTCTTATTTGATAATTCCTATATTATATAATTCATATAATACTATACCTTTCTTTAGGTCTTGAAAAAATAGGATATATTATTACAAAAACACTCGTAATTTGGCTCATAATGTTGTTGATATGCTCAGCGACAAATATAGATTCAATCAAAGAATTTTGCATTTTTACTTCAATCGCCATGATTATCACCTATATTCTACACATGTCCTTTTTTGTAACGGCTTTATCTATTGATCTTAAAAGATCAGAATTGGAGGTATAATATTATGTATTAATTGCATTTTTTAGTTAATCCTTCGATGTGCCTTTGATAAAATTTGTAGATCACTGCATGCCGATTGTTCGATTGAAATTGATTGTACGCGATTTTAGCGATTGAAATCGATTGTACGCGATTTTAGCGATTTCTCAGCAACCATCTGATCAAATTCAATGAATTTTTTTTTATTTTAATTTTATGAATCTGTAGAATTCAAATAAAAAAAAAATTCATCGAATTTGATCAGGTGGTTGCTGAGATATCATCACTCAAAGTTTTTTTTTAAAAAATGTCAATGTTTATCAACAATGGAAGCTGCGCCAAATTTTTC